AGGTCCACACCTGAGCCCCTGACGTGGTCCCTTAGTCCAGGAGATAGTTTTCTATTCAAGGCTATTCATGTGGCCAGTGTCTCCAGACTTCAGGAAACCATCCACTGTCATGCTTACTCTTTCTTGGGGGAAGTAAGTGGTTCTACCTCTTCCTGGCACCTTTTCCTCAACTAACCCTGATTTGAAGAAGGATGACTGGACTCACTGCTCTCACTGGGGTCCTCTCTGTGAACATGGCCCTTCGCCAAGGTTTTCTCCTCCTCAGTAAGTCACAGAACCAGGGCCATCAACTGCAACTGAGCTAAAGGACTTCCTTGCCCGCTTACTTTGTGCTGCGCTTCAGCTTCTGTCCTTAACTTACGTGCTTATAAACATCTTTGATGCCCGTATTCTTTATTACTTGACATCGTCACTAGTTCAGGCCTTTAGACAAAATGCAGAGTAGGTCTATGAGGTTCCATGAATGAACTTCTCGTGTGAGCTGGATTTAGGGAGCAACACTGAGCAGTTGAATGGATGAGGACATACGAGAGAGGCAGGCTCAGGTTAATGCTCTGTCCTTCAGTTATGCCATGTGGCCTTGGAACCGTGAATCAATCTCCCTGCACCTCGGCTTCATCTTCTGAATGTTCTTCAAGGTGCTGGTGAGGATGAACAGCAATGTGCTCAGCACTGCATGTGACACATCCTTGGGGCCAGGGGAAGTTGGGCCCCTTCCTTCCAGCACTTCTAGAATGGCAGAACTCCATTCAGATGGAGAATGCTGTTCCAAGTAGTATGCCTCTCTTGAGGCAACCAATGATGAAACTAGTCACTCCCTTGTGCCAAGTTAAAGAGACTCACTTGGGCAAGAGACTGTCCTGTAAACTGGGTGGCAATGATCAACTCTGTTCTTTAATAGCACAGAATGGGCCGTGAGAATGAATGAGATCACATTACATCGAACCACATGAAATCACCTTTTTGAACATCAGTGTGGTCCAATAGCCAGTTTCATGCTTCAGCCTCATAGTTCCCTAGGCCTTTTAATCTAATAGTGGACAGTCACTAGTCAATGTCCTTTACAAACTTCCACAGGAAAGGATGTACAGCAGCTCTCTGGCCAGCAGCAAAGGCTTGGATAAGATGAGGCAATGAGTATAAAAGTGCTTTACAGACCATGAACACTAGGTCACTGCAAAGCCTTTTTTGAATTAATTGTGAATATGTGATACTTCAACTGAGGAGTTCTGAAACTTTTTAGAAATTTAGATAAATTCCACCGAATTTATGTCAACTTTCACATGAGAAAAGCTTGTTCTCAGTGTGTGATCTGTTGACTGCTGGAGTTAATGCTTAGCTCTCACCTAAAAATGGGTGTCTTTGAAGGCCAAAATCATGGTAAGAGATTGCTTGATATGATGACTGTGTTTGTGTTGGGCCTGTGGGGCGGGGGTTGGTTGTTGAGGTGGGGGCTGAGAGAAATGACCATCTAGATTCAGAATGAAGTAGAGTTCGTTAGGGCTTGGTTTCATTGACTAGCTCACACAAAGTTTGGTCCCAGGGGAGTGACTAATTCCTTTGTTTTCATCTGTTAATCCATTTTATGAAAATTCAGTCAAATATTAGACAAATGTGCCAAATGTGCTTCATTCTGCCCAACAACTCAGGGTTAATTCTAAACTACTCTGTGATGACATCTTCCTGGTGTGGGTGTGAAGGTCACAAATGGCAAGAAAGTTTGTACCACCCCATCTAATCACAACACAGTTTGTACAATTATACCACTCTAATACAGTCAGGTCACCAGGATCATTGTTTCTATCTGGCTCCTGGGAAAAATGATTTAGCTACCTTGATTTAGCAGTCCATAGATTGAGGATGTCATTCTTGTAGTCCCCAAACAAAGCTAATCCCTATTATCAAAAGCTACTTGGCACATGAATAGACTCCAAAAGCAATAACTGGCTGCCACTTTGGGCACAAATGAAGACTTTTAACTTAAGTGGGCCCTGTGAATAAGTTCATTTATATCTATTCAACGTATATTTTCATAACAAGCTGAACTTGGTTTGCGTGAAGGAGTCTCTAAACTGTTTATTTATTCAAGGTTTCTCCATCCTTCTGGAGGAAACCAAACTGTGAGGCAAAGCAGGGAAATCCAGGGCTTGTTAATGAGGCAGAAGATCAGGTTCAGTGCGGGAGTGTGAGGGCCGCTAGAAGAAGAGGATTTGGCCATCCACATTTATGGGGAATCATCATGTCAATGACAAGGCGGGGCCTCGTCTGCACAGGGCAGGGAGGACCATCTTGCTCTGGAAAATCCCTGCCTGCAGCAGCCGTTGGTGGGAAGATTGCCTTGTTTATTGCTTAATCTATCACTGTTGAGCTGCCTGCCTCGGGGAGGCTCAATTTAAGATAGATTGAAAGGTAGTGTCTGTCAATTGAATAAACACAGATGGTTTTCCACAGCCAAAATTGATCTTTTTTTCCTCCTTACCAAAGACATAGTGCCAAAAGTGATTATCTTTGGAAGCCAGGCGTGAAATGCCTTAGCTCCACCCCCTGCCGCCATGCTTAACCCTGACACAGACGTGATATCACATGGGGGCGTGGGTGTCTCACACTGTGATTTTAGGTTCTGGAGGTAAAATAAAAATCTGACTTCTCTAGAAGGGCCTGGCTAAGTTCATTCCACTGAGAAGGTTAGGGTCAATCAGTTGATTCACAAAATAAGGTGACCAGTCCTAAAAGTCGCTGGCTGGCAAAGACCTTCTTCAAACTTTTCATTCAAGAGTCTCAAAGAGGTGATAAGATTTGCCTAAGGACACATAGCTAGAGCTAGATATCAATCTTCTGTTTATTCAGAAGCTAGAAAGGAGGCCAAAGTCTATGCCTATGATATTAACTGGAGGCATTAAGATAAGTCCTACTCCCAAAACATCTTTGGATGCAGGTAGATCAGAGATGCTTGAACAAGTCATGCTAGGATGTCAGACATTTTAGCAACTAACTAGGTATGGAGTCACTTACACTCAAGAGTTTTGAAGAAAGCTAAGGGTAAAACTGTGAGCAGCAGTTCAAGATAACAGGTGCATGGAGGGTGAAGAACTGTGAACAGGAAGAGTACTCTTTGCACAATGAGGAGATCGAGTAATGTGTTTTCTACTGTCTCTTTCAGCTCTAATTACAAAATACAACAAGCTAATGGGACGTCATTCATACAAATTATTTCAAGCGATGGAATTGTCTATCTCCTTCCACTCCACTAATGTGAACATGAGTGTAGAATGGCAGTTGAAGGATTTCTCAAGAGGAGTTGTTGCAAAGGTGGCAGAGGTGGGACAAACGCGGGGAGGTGGTTATATAAATGCTTTAGAGACAAACCTAGAGATGATGGGACTCAGAGGATCTTAGCAATAGGTGGAACTGTCTTCTCATTCTAGAGATTTTAAAAAATGATACTCATATCTATATATATACACATACATATATATGACTAGAGACAGAGCTGGGACATCAAGCTAAAAATCTTGGTTCTTTCAGTTACACTACCTGTCTTCTTTTCAAACGGCCCCATGTAATATGGAGTGCCAGGAAAGCAGGTGTGTACACTATATAAGTGCATGTGGCAAACAGAAGTGCAGAGGTTCATTCCAGCTAACACAATTATAAGTACAGATCTTGACAACAGTCTTGGTCCCAACTCCTAAAGCTGAAACAAAAATCTTATGAAATATGCCATGTGGAAAAGAGAGCTGGCTCTTCTATCTCACCTGGATAGAGAAAAATGGAACTAAAACTGTCTTAGTGTGTGAGGGCTACACATGAGGTCACATTTGCAGAATTTGAATTTATCTGAAAGTGGGTTAACACATTTGCAACCTAGCAGAATTGGCCTATCCTTGAGTAAAGAAAAACTTGATTCAGGGTTTCTAAAGTAAGAGAGTCAAATCCTTTTACTCAGTTGGAAAACAAAAGAGATTTAAATCCAGTATTTTCCTGTACATGGGCTGTTTTATAAATACTCTTCATAAGTAGAAACTTAATGTATATATATCTGTCTTTCAGTCAGTTCTTAAACCTGAGACCCCTACAACTTTCTCACACATACTGAGACTGAAACATATATTACTGACATTGAATTCATTTCCTGCCACAGACTTTACCTAAAGCAGACATTAAATGTAAACATGTTTCTATTTCCACTTCAATATGATCCCTTTCTTCTCACATTCTTCAGCGTAGCAGACAAGGACAGCCAAATAAACGTCAATACAGTTGGCTGAAAACCTATATGCCTAAAATAAATACTTAACTTAATGCATCTTTATAAATTTTTTATGAATAAATAACATAATCAATCCCTCCCACCCCCCAGCCAAAGGATTTCTCTAATATGGTAGAATGGCACCATGGACGATTATAACTGGGTAATAGCAAAAAGGACCTGCGTTGAGTTAGAACTGTCACTCCACAGGCACATGTGCATCTTGATATATGTGTCAGCGTGTTTGGTTGTGTTTTTGCCTTAAAATGATGTGGTGAATGTTTTTCCTATGTCCTCAGCTATGTCTTTTAAAACAATCGAAACTCGGGGATTTGTTTGAAATTGGCTTCCAGTGTTATCAATTTGGGGACTGTCCTTTATACATTGGACTCTCCAAGGGTTGGCTTTTCACATTACAAGTGTAAAAATAAGTTCCTTGGTTTGTGATTATAAATATTCCTGAAAAATGACTCAAATCACATTCATAAAGCACTAGCTTCTGCTTAAAGAAATGACAAGGGGAAGTTTTTCAGAAAGCAATCAATGTACAATTTCTCTGCTATATAAATCTGGTTGTTCATGTAGTTTCTATGACTTAGTTGAGCACATCTGTATCTCAGGGTTTAATGCTTAAAATAAAGATTTCCTATTTGTTCCCTTTTCTTAAAAAGGGAAAGTTTGTTTTACCTCCGAAGCAGCGTCCACAAGTTGAAATGGAAAATGCAAGCCGTGATAGGCCTTCCAAGTGACCCATTTGGGCCTCTCCCCTACCCACCCAGATCACTCCCAAGCCTGCCAAAGGGTCTTCGGAGGGTACAGAAACAACCAGTGACGCGAGGGTTCCTCACCAGCCATAAAGCAAAACCGGGGGGGCAGGGTCAAGGGTGAGTCTAGACGTACCCCTCGTGACAGATGTTTCCGTTGATGAGGCTGAAGGTGGCGGCGGAGGGGTTGGTGCTCTTGAAGGAGGTCATGCAGCTGGTACTTCTGCCGGCGCTGTGAGACCGGCTCATCAGGCCAGACCGGCAACAGAGGAGCTGGGTGTTGAACTGCTTCCGAAAGCTCTTGCTCAGCAGGTAGAGGGCAAAAGGGTTCACGCAGGAGTTGGTGAAGGCCAGAAGGCGGGCGCAGATGCTGGTGACGAAGTGGAGCAGGGAGGTGTCCACCTCGGAGTAGTGGTAGGAGCGGTAGAGGTAGATGACGTGGTTGGGGAGCCAGCAGAAGGCGAAGAGACCCACGAACACCAGCACCGTCTTGGCCAGGCGCTTCCGGGATTCGATCTGAGGGCAGAGTCACACACAGAGGGGCCGAGGGGCGGGGGACGCAGAGACAAGGGTGTGGGCAGAGAAGAAGAGGCGGGAGTGAATTAGGGAAGTGCATGAGCTCACAAGGCCCAGCAGATGAGTTCCACAGGAGGGAAGATGAGGGAAACAGAGGAGAGAAAAGCAACAGAAACAGACAGAAAAAGAAAACAGTCAGACACAGAAAGGAAAATGCCAGGAAGCAGAAATGGATGAGCAGAGTACAGTGAGAGCAGCTCTTGAAACAAAGTTGATTACACACTTGAGTGGGCGGCACAATGAAATTCTAGTAAGCGCCCTCTTTTTCCTTGGGAGGGCATTGGTGCAGTTATCAGCCACATGACTTCATGTCTTCCTTGGCTCCACAGTTAATAATTTCTTCTTCCCTCTGATGCTTAAACAAGGACCCAACTTTGTTCTTCCCCACTGGCCAGACTAAGATAACTGCCTGTTACCATTTTTTTTTTTTAATCTCAAGTTATTTCTAGCCTATGTAATATAGGAAGAGTCTCAAACAAAGTGGGCTGAGCATCTCCTTTTGTTCCCAACTCACTTTGCTACGGCAAGAGGAAACATCATTCTCCTTCAAGAATTGGGGATACAAAATGTTCTCCACTGAGAACTCCTTCAAGCAGGGGGAGCCTTTCACTGAGGACTGCTGCTTTCCCCCCATAATTGAGTGGGAAAAAGAGAATTTTAGAGGTGAAGCCTCCAACTAAGTCGGCTACACATTTTAAATGAGGGGAGAGTCTTTCTGTCTTTCCATCATAAATACCGCTTGATCTACATTTGGACTAGAAGGCAAAAATTGCCACAGAGGAGAAAGCCAGAGTCCCTGGTTTCTACCATTTATACCTCAGGATGACATTATGGGGGTGATGGGGGGACTGGGGAAGGCAGGCTAACACAGACGGAGGGCATCCTGCATTCTGGACCACCTGGGGGTAGATATGTTCCTCTGTCATCCTCCAACAGCCTTCTGATATAAGGGTTACTACCCTCCTCATGGGTAAGAAACTCAGAGAGGGTAAATGAGTAGGTCAGGAAGCCTGGATTTGAACTCAAATCAATGTGAACCCATCTTAATCAAACTACTTCTTTTTCTTCACCCAGCCTCATTTTCCAGCCCTTTCTGCCTTATCACATATGGTGACCCTCTTCCTACCCAAAGAATGTGACTGGAGTTTAAAGCAGTTGCATCCCTCTGAGACACTACATTTTATCTTTTAAAAAACACTAACATGTTTTTCAGATTTTTCCCAGAAACAACCCATACTCCAAAGCTTTCAGGTTCTCAGCACCTCACTAAACCTAGCCTTAAGTAAAAGAACAAGATTCTAAGGGACATCTGAATGCTGAGTCTTCTGCAGCTAGGAATCTCTGTTCACCATCTGGCCACAGATCACTCACCTCTTCTACTGCAGAATCAGGCAGCGGGACCACCTAAATACGGAACTTGTCAGTGGAGTCCTACATATATGCAAGGGATCGAATCCCCAAGGAGGAAATGAATTACTCCTAAGCACCCACCTGCTTCTTGACATGTATATTCCCTTCCACGGGGAGATTGTAGGCACTCTGGATCAGATTTCTGGCGATGAAATAGTAGTAAACAGAGATGATCGACAGCGGGATGATGTAGAAGACCAGGAAGGAAGCCATGGAGTGGATTTTGGGGTGCAGCTCATTAGAGTGTGGGTACGGGGCACAGCTAATGAAGGTCTGGTTGGTGCTTTCCTCATGGAAGGGATGTAGGTCAGAAAACACGGCCTCTGGGATGGCCAGCAGCATGGAGACAATCCAGATCAGTGCGGCTTTGAGGCAGATTTTCAGCAGGGCATGGGAGGCCTGGATATCCATCGGCCGCACGATGGCTTTGTACCTGGGGCAGGAGAGAGGGAAGTTGCTTAATATTAAGTTGCCAGGGTCTGGACTAGGGCAAGGCCAGGGAGGCCCCTGAGGTGTAATACTTTAAGAAAAGTCATCCAAGGGCCGACTCTGAACTCATAGTGAGTGCCTCCTTAAATGCTGCCCCCAAGCTCGTTGCTCACCTCATCCTAGCCCGGCTCTGAAGGATGTCCCCCTTTCCCCATTCTCTCTTGATTTTAAGAATACTTCTCAGAAAAGCTGAAGCTTCTTTTATTTTCTTAAATCACAGAAATGAATAACAAAGCATGTTTAACAAAGGACACTGGAACAAGAAGGCTGGTTTTTTTATTTTGTTTTTTTGGCAAAGCCTTCATTTTGAGTATTCAAATGCAGTCACTGAGTATTTACAGACACCTCTTTTCTTTCTCAAAGGTTGAAGAACAAATAGTTCGCTGAAAAAGTTACACACAGATGCATCGCTGTAATTATCAAACTAATCTTTCCCCTGCCCCCCTACTCTCTTTCGGCGTCATCTTCTCTTGCAGTATTCAGGTTGAGCTCTGGGAAGCAGACACTGAGATGAAGTCAGGAGGACAAAGAGTTTATTGTTGATGAAGATGTGTGGGGAAAGGGGAGGAGGCAGGACTAGGCAGAGGGAGCTGTCAGACCCTGAGGCAGACCTTACAAGGTGTACACCAGCCAAGGTGACCAACCATCCAAGTTTCCCTGGACATTTCCCAGTTTTAGCACCGGAAGTCCTACATCTTGGCAAATTTCTCAGTCCCAGTCACTATGACAGCTGGTCACCCTGCACCAGCCCAATGGGAAGCTCAGGAGCAAAGATTGCCCAGTGGGGGAGTCCTATCAGTGGAAATGGCCAAGCCCTTGTAGCACCACCCTGCTTGGTTACTGGCTGGGACCACCCAAAAAGAGGGTGATCTCAATTGCTACCTGGTTCTGTCACTGGGCAGGAATTGCCCAAGAAGAGCATGACCATAGCTTGAAAGTTGAAGTGGACCTGGAAGGAGCTGACATCTGGAGGTTGCCAGCTACCCATACAACACCTACCACAGTGAGCCACACATTTATTTTGGGCCCACTTGCCTGAGAACCCACTAAAAGATGAGCCTCTGGTGGGCAAAGACTGGGTCTTTATCTATCTTGGTATCTGTCAAGATCTGCACACAGTGTACAAACATTTGTTCTACTGCACATGAGCTGCTATGGTGTAGAAGTTGACATGAGTTGGAACTATCTAAATGTGTGTCCAATGCTAAAAATGCTGTGTTGACACCGGGTTCTGCCTCTGATATTCTTTTGTATCATGGCCTTCAGTGAAGAGGTATAGTTATTTCCACTTGTTTCCAAGTTGACTAAACCTCCACTGAGTTACCATTCTTGGCTGCATCCTGACCTCTCACTCACTTTCTGCCTCTCTCCAGGGAAGGGGGTGTGAGTTTTGAGTGGTGAGTTTGAGAAAAAGAACCTGGCATGTGCATTGGACTCACAGAGGCCTGTGCTTATCTAGGTGTCCCTGACTAGGTGAATGGCACCTCTAATATAGGCAATCAGAGTGTCTGCAAGTTCCTTATTGCTGTGGACCTAGGTCATAGTCTCCAAACAGCTTTATCAGATGTAGAAGCAATTATTTTTTAATCATCATCTGTCTCATTTTATATCTAGTTCTCTGTTCCCACTTCAGGTAGGGAAGAAAAGGAGACTATTTATCAGATATCCCCAACACTCCAGAACAACACTATTGTCCTGCTTTAGTATACCTGCGTGTGATTTTCCATCCATAATTTGCATTAGCGCACTTAAAACAATTAAAAAAAAATAAACATTTCAAAAGGAGGTTCTATTGTCCTGTGGTGCTTTCTCTAGTCACTAATAATTTCAAACATTTTAATTTCTAGTTTAGAATGAAGGAAAGGAATAGATATTTTTAATGAAAGATATGTGAACATCCTCAGCCAAAGATGTATATAATTAAAGATATCTTAGATAAATCAGAGATAAATGGGCAGTCACAAGTACCATTAACTCTCCAAGGGAAGGTGATCTCCTCATGTATGAAGCAGAAGCCAGAGGGAATGGCTTCCCCTCCTTCCCTCTTGGGAATCTTGCATTCCTAAGTGCAAAATGCCATGAGATATTGAGCCACTATTTCAAATTCACAACTTTTAAAACATGTAAGATAAAACATTTCTCTGATTGCTTTGTCAGAAAAATAATTTGAGTCTAAATCTAAATTAGCCTCTGGATCTATGTACCAGTTTTCAAGAAATGTGGGAATAGAAGAACCAGCTAGATAATGCAGTCAGTCAAATCCTGAAACAGAAAATTCTACAGGAATAATGACCTCATTTTTTACAAAAAATATATGGTATAAAAAAGCAGAGAGAATGGTTACAGACTGACTGATATCAGTAGCGCAATGTGTAGACCCATTTTGCATTATTTAAAATTTTGTTTATTTTTTGGCCATGCTGTGCAGCATGCAGGATCTTAGTTCCCTGACCAGGGATCGAACCCAGGCCCCTGGCAATGAGAATGAGAAGTCCTAACTACTGGACAACCAGGGAAATCCCTTCTTTTGGATTCTGATCCAAAGCAAACAACCATAAAAAGACTTTTTTGAGACTACTGAAGAAAATCAAATATGGATTTAGTACTGGTGATATCAAGGAATTATTTTTAACATAATGGGCTTAATAGTGGTATTGTGATTCTGTGTTTTAAAAAATACTTTATTAAAAGCACATCCTAAAATGTTTACCAGTGAAATAATATCTATCTAGGGCTTGCTTTAAAATATTCAGATATATTCATGTATCATTTGTATAATTTAAAAATAAGTAAAAATGCATTGCAAACAATTTCGTTATGGAATATTAATAACATTTCAAAGAAATTAAGGAAATTCCATTCACTAAGCTCTTGCCTTCTGCCAGGCAGAGACTAGCATCTACGTGATCTCACTTATGTTTTAGCATGTAGGTGCTATTAGCCCCACTCTACAGTGACAAGCTGAATGAAATGCAGGTGGTTTCAGAAGCGGTGAGGTCAATATTCAATGTAAACCAAGTCTGTTCAGGATACTACAGCTTTTTCAGAAGAATGCTCTGGGTAAATTCTTCCTAGAGATAAACAGATCAGCCATTTCACAAATGTGTATGGAACATACCAAATGTTCCCTGGAAGTCTAATGGTTCTGTAGAGCATGATAGATATATCAGTCTATATCTTCTGGTTTAAACTGCTTTGCCTGGAGCTCCCAGTGAAGGGAGATCCCCAAGGGGTGGTTCTCGTTTAGGAGTGATGGCCGGTTTGCCTAGGGTGGATACTCAATATTGTAAACCAGCCAATAAACTGCCTGGCCAACTACCAGAGACTCTCTCTTTGTCTTAAGCATTTAAACTGAAAAATTGAGAGGATGTAATCAGTCAATCATAGATGCTACAAAGAAAAGGTTATGATGTCAAGGAAGCAATCAGGGCAAGATGAATAACCAAAGTAGGTAGAATGAAAGAAAGAGAATGGCCGGGGCCGGCGAGCCAAAGAGGAGCCGGCGAGCCAAAGAGGAGCCGGCCGCGCGGGCCGGGAGGGGACGGCCGCCGGAGCCGCCGAGGCCAAGTGCTGCCTGGTTGGGCCCAGACATGGGATGTCGCGCCTCGGCGGGCCACGGCCTCCCCTGGGCGGCCCCGGCGCGGGCCCGGCCGCGGACTACGACTCCCGCCAGGCGCCGCGGCGCAGCGCATGAGCCCTGCTCGGCTCCGGCGCGTCTATTATGCTGCCGGGGCCGGCGAGCCAAAGAGGAGCCGGCCGCGCGGGCCGGGAGGGGACGGCCGCCGGAGCCGCCGAGGCCAAGTACGCCTTTCTTTTGCTTCC